AACATAAATAAAAACCTTCGAATGAGCAGGTGTGTCCAAACTTTTGAATGGTACTGTATATTTATATAGTTACAACCGGCCCTTTGAGTGTAACCATAATGCTAATGAGACCCGCGATGAAATTGAGTTTGACACCCCTGTTCTAGGACATTCAGAGATGCCAACCACAGTACCCTAAGTCGTCCTAGTATGTGATAATATTGGTACTAGTTATCCATTTACAGTTTAGCACAAGCTTTGGAGAACACACAATACAGGCAAACATAGTGTGTAAGCACCTGTGGGGGGGTATGCAGGGCACAGACACCACTGGCGCTGCAGCTCTCCTCTCAGCTAAGATCTTCCTCGCTCTTTTCATCTTCAGCCTGGACTTGGCTTTCGCCCTCTTGGCTCGCTCAGAGCTCCAGCCCTTGGAGTCATCATCGTGGCAAATGCTCGGCTCGTCATCCTCCTCCAGCTCTCCTTCGCTGTGGGAGGAACCCATGCTGGCGCCGCCTACTCCTGCAAGAGGTCGTGCTGATCCTGGCGGCGTGTGGATGTCACAGTAAGCTGTCTTTCGTACACTAAAAGAAGTGCCGTTGGCCCCCGTCTCTCTGACCGGCTCCATTTTCATGTAGAGGCCCGCCTGCTGAGCGCAGGTAACGTGGAAGGCTGTGTAACAGTTGGCTTTGTGACACTGGATGCAGGCGCCTGAACCTCGCTGCTTGCAGATGTAGCAGGTGAGCTTCCAGCGTGCGGGGGGAATGTGCTCAATACTGTCTATCGGCTCCAGGAAGACTGTGTTGGCGAAACAGACCTGAGGAAAGACAGCAACATTTATTTTTATATCACTTAGTATAACAAGACAACAGACTGACTGAGCTCTACTAACGATGATGTTATTTTATTAGTCTGAGTGTTTTTCGTTATATCAATTATGCATCTAGCACTTTTTATCAAACCACTTGCACTCCACATTGTCCAAACTCTGCCAAAACAACCATCCACATATGTGCACTCCAAAGATACATCGTGCTCACAGGCCTGGACTTTTCTATGCATCAGATGATAATGTTAAATACATTATTTTCCCAACGACTAAATGTAAAGCAACTTTTGTTCTGAAGGAAACAGACAAATACTAATAGCAGTGAGCAACACAGCACAACGCAGAGCACCTCAATCTTCTGTAGTTCTGATGGAGAAGGCATGGAGTGTGTGACTTTACCTCTGGGATCCAGAGGGCACAGACAACATGCGCCCAGCGTGCATCGTCTGTCTGTTTGAAGGCGCCTCCCTTGTTGGGGCAGAGAGCGCAGTCCACAGCTCGACTCGGCGACTGAAGGCAGCGCCGACATAACCACTGGCCCTCTGGGATGTAGGGCACACCGTAGCACTCTTGGTGAACTGCCAGGTTACACATGTCGCAGAAAAGGATCACATTGCTGTTCTGACACTCCCCGTCGTTACAGATGCAGCAGACAGCATCTTCATCGATTAGGGTGCTGGGGTCAGCCTGGGGGAAAAGAGGATAAGGAAGAGTTGGAAGAATTCTATATGTTTCAATGTTTAAAAAAAAAAACGTCTTCCCCTCAGAGGCCAAATTCATGTACCTTGTTGTGGCTCTCAAAGTAGGACTCCTTCTCTAGGCGGTCCATGAGATACTCAAAGACCTCCTGAGGAATGGGAGTGACACCGTCGCGCCGCCGCTTGTCGTTCATGATGTCCAGCCAGATGTAGTCTTCTTCATCAATGTCGTACTCTACCTCCTCATCCAGCTCCTCCACAGACTTGTCAATGTACCTGAACCCCAGAGCAGGACATAATGTGTATATTAATTACATACATAGTAGTATATGTAATTAATATAAATATATGTATAGTGTACAGTTTTATTATTATGCTGCTGTGTTATATGTGTTATTCTATTTTTGTAACTCTGGCACAACCATTTCCTTCGGGATAAATAAAGTCCTATCTTATGGGTAGAAAACAAGTGTTATAATTGGGATTAAAGCTATAGCAACACATGATACTATCTGTAAAAGGAGGATATAATAATAATGAAAAATCTAGTCAAAGGCAAAGGCTTTTCGTTATACATGCACAATTAGCTGTACAAATGAAAACCTGTATGTGTGCTGCAAATATTCATGACTTATATTTCTGTATAAAAAAGATGCCTCCTGTGTACGTGCAATAAATTATTATGTGCCTAACATTATCTTTTAATTTCCTGACATGTACAATTACCAATATTCCAGCTTCTAATTATCATACCTGCTATACAGGTATTAATGATTGGCATTATAACTCTCTATACAGACCTGTAGTAAGATGCCGGTCGAGGAGGGGCTTCAGGTCTCTCCTGGTCCAGCTCTCTGAACACCGCCTCAGGGAGCTTGATTGCAGGGCCGGACTGAGCGCTGTGATGATGAGATGAACCGTCCTTCTTCTTTTCTTTACTCTTATGTTTTCCAGACTTTGGGGTGGACTTGCCGCCATTAGAGGAGGGGATATCTGTCCGGTCCTTGCCACCACCTCCTACCTCGCTGCCTCCGCCGTCGCTACCGTTACAAACCCCTCCACCACCACCACCAGTTCCAGAGGTTGGAGCATCCTCTGCATCACTATCTTCCTCTGACACCACGTCAATGTTCTCAAAGATGCTGATGCGGTGGATGCGTCCTTGGAAGTCCAGCTCCACCATGCGCTGTGCCTGTGCATAAGTCATTGTTTCCCTGCCCGGAGAGTTAGAGTGATCCGACTGGTTGGGGCTACCAGGCGTGTTCCCCCCGTGCCCCAGTCCCCCACCACCGTTACCTCCACCATCGTCCGTATCCCCTGAGCCAGCCAATGAGGCGCGAGGAGGCCGTCCCTTTCTCTTTTTCTGGGGAACAGTCTGTGCAGGAGTTGGGTTGTCATGGTCATAGTGGTACAGGTGATACTCAATGCCACTGTAGCTCTTGTAGACCTTACGGCAGGACTCCACAGGGCACTCATAGGGGGGCTTGGTGGCCCGCAGGTTGTGACAGAACGTCTTTACATCAAAGTCCAGTCCCATTGTGCCAACAGCCACTGCTGGGACAGATGCTGTTCCAGTTTACATCTGAAAGACAGGGACACAAAGGAGGACCATGGGTGAATCAGATGAGATTTAATTACAATACATTAGGTAGAGAAGACCTACTGTTACTGAATTGAAGCAGTTAGAGACACCAGTCCAGGCGTTCATTCAGACTGTGCACCTGTTATGTTGTAGTCACGTGACCATATCCCTCAATCCCAGTGGGAAACAAATTGTTATGTTTTGTCACACAGTCACAGGTGCAATTTACGTCAATATTTAGGCTTCTGTTCCTTGCCAATGACAGTTATGTCCGGATAACGTGCAGTGGCACAAAGAGCATAACAGTAAGGCTAGTTGATAGCAAATTACAACTTGTTTAAAGCCCATCAATCCTGGCTAAAACAACAGTGCACACGACAATAAAAATATCCCAAAACTAACCACAGGACTTTATATGCCAGCTATCGTTAGCTTTAGCATGTTTCTGATGCTTTCTCCTCACACAATGAACCCTTTAGCCAAGCAAGCTAACAGCAGCTAGCAAACAACAACACCAGTTCACTGTCGAAACTGCAAAAGCTAAAAAGAAACAAAGCTCAGCTTCTACTCACGAATTAACTATACAATGAAGCCAACGCTTTCTTACATTATTGTGTATTTTTATAGACGCACAGTGCTTCATTATAAGTGAGTTAAAATCATAGCTGCTTTCACAGGGCAGACGTTACCTACACAAAAGGGGTGTTACTTAAAGGTTGCATAATGTTTTTAATATAATTAATAGCAAATAATGAACACGTGTTTGAAGTTAGATACACAGCAGTATGAATGTTACTTAGATGACCATTCAACATCTTACACTGTTTCCCTCCACAATGACCTCACCCTGTGAATACCTAATACTGAACAGCGAAATGTCACTATTACATCTGACTTCACGAGGTTATACCACTACTACTGCGTATGGGATCAGGTATATTGTTTATTCAAACAGCTAATGTAGATAAACCATTTAATTATCATTCCCTGTGTAGCGAAATAGCTCTTAAATGCTGTGCGATGCGAGGAAAATAGCCAAGCTTGTTATGCATCTGGGCTGTAATGGTTACTCCGGGTTTACAGGGCACATTGGGTTAAGACGGAATATTAAAATCAATACAAATATACACCATTAATTACCATTTATTGTCAAAGTGTGATCATATTCTCCTACAAAACAAGGCTTCAGTCGCTACAGATCTAACGTTATAAACACTTACTACTCCACGTTCCTCAAGACTGCGTGCTTCGGAAACCTCTCACAGATCGGACGGATTGCAGATCGATTTTTTGTTCATTTAGAGAACTCCAGATTAGATTCAAGGGAAGCGTAGGTGCTGTGAAACGTGTTTATAAATCAATTTAATATCCAGATCGTTGCATTGTGTTGGGAATAATTCAGGAACTCGGTTGAACAAAAGGGGCAACCGTTGCTGTAGCGCTACGGCGCAGACGCGGGTTGACACATTCGCCACACAAAGCAGGGTCTATTTTTTTGGTTTGGTAATAAATAGAGGCTAAATACCTGGTTCGAACTGTTTCTAATAATGATATAAATGATATTCTGTTAAAAGATATTTTTTATATAATTTATTTTTGAATGTCTATTGATCCAATACGTTCCCACGGGTTATTTCGTCTTGAATGTTGCGAATCTGTGGCTTTGTTTCAAAGATGTCTGCAGGACTGGGTAAAAAAAAAACTGAAACCATCCAGCCTGGCCTGAGTGCGCGACACACTTAAACAACTACATACAAACTACTAACTATGTAGGAATAAAAAGTGTGCCACTTTATTGATTTAACTTACCTTAAATGATCACCTTAACTCCATATTACATAACCTTATCATGATTTGAATATGATGATAGCCTCTAGAAATATAAATGGAAATAAAACACAATGAAACTTAATCAAGCACAAAATAATATTTATTTATTTCCCAACATTCAGTCTGTGATTAGAGTGCAGCAGGGTAGGGTGGGGTAATGCAGTGGGATATACAGCAGGCAGAAGCAATCCCACTGTTTGAATACAAGCCTTTGACAATCAGAGCATATTCACCAGGGGGCACTGTTTTACAGAGAGAAGTGAGATGAGCAGATTGCACATTTTCAGGACTCCTCCTCCTCCTCCTCTTTGCATCTCAGCTCCTCTGATTGATCACTGCATCCAAGTGAGTATGCCAACAATAGTTATTCCTTCCTCTGCTCACCATGAGTTAGCAGCGAAGGAGGTGGAACAAAACCAGATACAAGTGACAGAGAACAGAAATCTCTTACTACTGGAAGTATTTCACCAAAGCAGAAGATTCTGCATAATATCCTATAAAAGTCCAATTCAAACCGAATTGATGAAATAATGTACATCAAAGCAACCCCTCCACCACCACCACCACCCCATCTTAACATTCCAAAAAAAAAATACAAATATAAAGTACGAGAAAACTGTACATTTCACAGCTTGGCAGAATTGGGTTGCTGAAACCTTTTAAATGTATCGTGTATATGTGAAATATCCAACCATTCTAGCTTTATTGTTTATCTTTGCTTTATGGAACATGAAAAATTGGGCATGCTTGTTGGTGATACAAAATTACAGGTGGGGAAACCCACTATATACAGTGTAGGAAACTCTTAAACATAGGTTACAATTAAGGGAGACCATATGTTGTGCAAATCTCCTGCAATAAGTACTGTATCGTTTGAATTTTGCAATATATTACTGAAAATGAAAAAAAAGACTCATCCAAAGCAACCTGTGAAACAAGGCAATAACACTGCTTTGTTTGCGCCTCATTTGAGGAGGTTTTAATATTTAAAGTACCATTGTATGTGAATATTATGCTCAACTGTACAGTAGAATCACCTCAGACAATAGCAGCATCAAAGAAAAATCAAGCTTTTAAACAGCAAACAATTTAAACACTGGTGATTGCACAAAACATTTCACTTGAAGTGTATGCAGAGTAATCAGATAGCCTATTTGAAAGAGCAGTTAGCAGTAGTGGCATGTTTGCTGGGTGGTTTGTAATGTTTAGAATTTGTCCAGTTACTTCAGTCTGTTGCTTTGTGATTTATAACTGTTCAACTCTCAGCTTGCTCCTCTGCACAGAGATAAGGCTTGTGGCAAGGCCACGATCAAAGCTTTGTGGAGGGGTTAAATTGCACTTTTTAGCCTCTAGCCTTGACAATAATTGCTACATTCTGATCAAAACACTACCAGAGAAATAAACTGCACAAAGAACTGTGTACAGTATATATGGCTCTGGACACTGCCTTTCTTTAGAGCACAAGGCTACAGCACTGCCAACTCCCGTGCATCAGTTGTCCTATCAAAAAGAGGCTGCGTCCCACCCAACCATTTAACCTGAAAGAGTGGATTTGTCTGCTGGCGTAATCTTTTTCCTTCTCTCATCAGTCTCACATTAACGGTTTGTTTCTGCAAGGCAATGGTACATCTCACCACTATGGCATTCCATCTGTCACTGGGGTGTAAAGTAAACAAGGGTTAAAACATTATTTTATTATTTAAAATAAGAGCATATACTTTGTTAATAGTGCAGTTCTACAAGGGCATTCATATGTAAACCAAAAAGGAAAGTGTCTGTAATGCATTAAAATAAAAAAAGAGACTGCACTCAAGCTACCCTAAAATTAAAATAACTTGAATACAGACACACTTTGTTCACAGAAAAAATTAAATAATCAATAAATCAATGTTCAAGGCACTACATTCCTTCAAATATCCTCATCATAAATACTGTCCGGTTACTGTATCTCACACCACTGGTATTTGGATTCCAATGTAGTGTTTAAAGTGTATGTAACAAAAAAAGGGGAGAACTGCAGTAATAAAGAGTAAAGTGATATTTGCTTTTCGTGACTGCAGACAAGTAGTCTTGTATTGCTAAGTTTAGTCAAAACCAAAAAGCATTAGATATCAGACATACATACTTAACAAATATTGTATACACAAACTTACACATAGACACACACAAATTAACCACAGATATAAGTGTTGCTGAAAGAATATCAACACTTGGGTCATTTACAACATCAGATTATGTACATGTGACTCTGATGAAGCAGAATGGAGTGGAGTTGGACTATCGTGCCCTTACACGTGAACAAATATTAGGTAGCAGATTAGGTAGTCCTAGCGGTTTTTGGACAGTGGCCATTCTCGGGCTCGTGCATGAGGTTGTAGGCTTGGATCCCCTGGTTTGCCGTTGGGGCATAGGGCATCGTTCTTGCAGCACCGAGCAGGCCTACAGGACCCCCGGACCCTACAGGACTGGGCATGCCGGACCACTGCTGCGGGTAAAGAGGACCAGGAGCCATCCCGTACCCAGGAGGGAGCGCTGCCGAGTTGGGAGCTAGGTTTGAGGGCGTACCGGGGCCTAAAGCAGCAGTCAGGGGGCAGGAAAGAGGCAGCTGGAACTTGCGGGGACCGACATGGCATTTCATCTGAAACAGAAGGGAGTTGTTGTACAAAGTAGTGCATAGACCGCCTCAGAGATCAAAGTACAACCGACGCTTCATCATCTATCCCTGAGTGCACATCTTCATTTCGAGTACCTCTTGTGCAGCTGCTCCCACGGGTGACACTCTGCCCTCCAGGTCCTGCTGGCGTCTCTGCTGTTTCATCTGGTTGAGGGAGGGCCGCGGCTGATTGGCTGCCGCAACAGTCTCCTTCGTCCAGTCGTCTACCAGCTTGTGAAGATCGTCCGTGAACGTGCCTCTCTTGTTGTTGCTGTTGTTGGTCTGGACCTGAGCGAGCCGTGTGATTGGCTGGGGAGATGGCGAGGGTGTGGCGAATGCCGGCTGTGTCTGACTGGAGGCCGTCTGAGCAGTGGTGGTGTGGGGAGAAGACCCTGAAAACACACAAAAAGGTCTTCAAATCTGGCCAGTTCTACAATATTAACTGTCAAATCAGTTGGCTGCTGTTTGGCGTAATTTCAGTCACTTTTGAAAAAAATAGTCCAAATCATTCAGTTGAGGCCAGAGTAAAAGTTGTGTACTTTTACATATTTTTCCAACATAGCAGCCAAAGGATTGCAACATAAATTACTTCCAAGAGTAGTAATAGCCAAATGAAATGTTTGATATGCAAGCAGTGACAAAATTGAGCAATCACTACGTTAACACCGCCATGCAAAAAAACATCAAATATAAAACAATGAACCCACATTTTCAAAACACAACTTCAAAATTTCCCAGGTGTCAAAACAAAAAATAAAGTGCACATACAAACATAAGGAGGACTTAAGTAGTGAGGACAGAGTAAGAAAGACAGAGAGTAAGAAAGTAAATGAGATAGTTACTACTACTGCGCTCTTTGCCTAGACATAGTCGTTTCAGAGTGGACCCTATAAGAAGGTAAAACAGCACAAGACAGAAACAGTTAGGCCAGGACACACTGCACGCCACACGGATGTGGACGAGCTGCTTCATAAGCACATTCAGCTATCAAACAATTGGGGAGAGAGAGGGAGGGAAGAGGAGGACAAGGGGTTTAAAAGTGAGGTGGACTGGAAGAAACAGCCTAGATGTTCTCTTAGAGATGGGCAACCATTTTGTAAAGTTCACTATTCAAACTTGTACCTGACCAGCTTAAGAAATGGAAAGCACTCTTAGCTTTGGTTGTCAAATGGTTCTTCCATTACTTTAACCATGTCAGTTTGAAAACCATCATATTTTATGCTGCCTTATAAAATAATTTTTTTCAAACCATGTTCTGTTTAAGTCAACAAGTCTGATACAATGCAGTCACTATCATTTTACTCGCCTTTACAATTAAGGCGTAACATTTCTTTGATTTTATTTATACATTTTTAGTCCATTAGTTGGTGCGAGACCATAACCCAAAGATAAGCGTTTTCTAAGAAAGGAAGACTGGATTCTGGATTAAAAGAGATCCCTTAGTCGATGTGAGAATGCCTGTGAAACAAAACGTGAAACCAAAATAAATCAAACTGAAAGAGCACACAGATACTAGCTGGAACTCATCGGTCAGCACTTGTTGGAAACATGCAGGTAACTCAGGAGACGTGGAAAGAGGGAAAAAGTAATAGTTGATGATACAGCCCTTCACATGGCGGAGCAAGTCTCCATCAGTGCCCTGCCTGGCACCATGCACGTCTTCTGCGTCCAAACATGAGGGACAGAGTCTCCTCTAGCACAGCAAAGAGCCCTGCCTATCAGAGAGGGCTGGGGGGGGTGCTGAGTTAGTATATAGAGGATTGCTGACTTGGCAAAGTGCCTTAACTTGGGAGATGTTAAACAATCAAAATTAACAGTGGATGGAAAAAACAACAACAAATAAATAGGGAATAAAGGGCGTTTGTCATTCTCTCTCTCTCAGGTGTACACGGGCACACCGTCTTGTTTTAGATGTGACCTCGGCCCATGTTTGGAGAGGACTAGCCCCAGTGCGCTTATAGGGTCTGTTTTTTTTTTAAAGCCAGAAGCGCTGCACAAAGCATTTGTATGAGGGGGAGTGGGCATTATACCCACTAATGAATGGTTATGAATGCGAAACAGTGGTTCTGTAAATTGTGGATTATTGCCAGAGGAATACCTATAATATCCAGACCCAGAGTCACGCACACCCAAGACATGTTTTTCTTTTTAATCTTCAAGCCAAAAAAGCTGTCCTGTTGATTTAAGGGTCAGACAGATGTAATGCTAACGAGCACATGACCAAAACGGCTTCACGAAGACAGCAACAAAATATCGCAAGAACTTCTATTTTTTATTTTTACATTATTATTTTAAATAATTTCAAGCACCTTTAATGACTCGACTAGTATACACTCTTTCCAGGAAGTGATACATACGACAGAGCTAAAAGCACATTAACTACCTTAAACTGCCACAATAAAGTGTCAGCAGTGCTTCTGCAATGTCGATCAGCAATAACAGGTTAAGGGACCTAAGAGTCATAAGCTAAAACAGACAGAACTGTTTCCTGCTTCACTGAATGCTTGAAGATAAAAAGGAAACATTTCCTGGCTGCACATGTTCTCTCCTCCTGGTGGCATGTGCCTATGTTGGCTAGATTCAGCTGACTTTGTAGATACGACTTTTAAATACAAAAATCCTCAGAAGTTAATTATCACATTGAACACGACGTTTAAATTCGTCGAGGGAGGGGTTGAGTGTGAGGAAGAGAAAATGGGGGATGTCAGGAGGGGGGGGCCTGTGAGGAGGATGGAATAGAGGATCCACAATATTACAGAGATATTTAAACATGGTGATAGAAGAGAGGCAAGTTAAACAAAGAGAAGATGGAAATGAGTGAGGGTAAATAGAAAAGAACAAATACAAACAGATGGACAGAGACACAGGTCCACTGAGGAATCTAGTGCGTGGTTTGCTACTAGATTTATAGGTGACTCTCTCTGACGTTTGGTGGTAAACCGTCCAGCCTGTAAAAATGAATATAAGAGGGAAGAAGAGAAGAAACAAGAGAGACACTTTGTAAAAGTGTACAGAGACTGGGTTGAGAAACCCCACCATAAAAAGCAACAGCAAAGGAAAATAAGGAGTGCACAATATACAGGAGCCTAGTATTTTATACAATGATTCATTAGACATTTCAGACAATAATTAAGAATGAAAGAGGGTTTTTAGGGGAGCGGGGAAACACAGGTTTCAGGGTTTGACCCCAATGTTTGTTTTATCTTTTATAATAATAGGGTTTCCTTGATAGGGTGAGGTGAAAGTATCTACAGCCTGTAGATGCTTTCACCTCACTGTAGTCCCTTAACATGCTATTGTCATAGAATAAATATATACAAATACGAAAACGCACTACAACCTAAGAGTAAAGTAAATAATTCCACTTGAAACGATAAAATAATAATAGTAATAAGGAATAAAGTAATAATAATAGTATGAGTAAAACATATTGGCATAAAATAAAAACAAAACACAACATTTGAAAGCATGAAATCAGCCAGTTACACACACAACATAGACATTGACTGAGTCTATGATCGATCAAAGAAATATATTAATAATGACGTCTTTTGATTTAGATCAACTTAAGAACTCAACAGCTGCGAGATTACAAGTAGAGATACCGTAGAGATACCGTGCTCAGTAAAATAAGATCCCTTCCCATTGCTAGCTTCAAATTATGGCCAACCAACTACATAAAGAGCCATGGTTTATTATCGGTCAGTTGTCAGCAGGTGTTTCTGACCTGACCAACCATACATTATACGTATGTAGTATTCAGAGTGGTCCTTCACACAGTACCAATGTGTTTGTGTCTGTGATCCTTCAGGTCTCTTTTGCAAAAGCTAGTTCATGGACCGTATGGACAACATGAACACTGTTAAGCCTTATTAATCTCTAGTAGCTGTTTGGTAGATAGCTGTCCCATCCGCACACACATCAGCATGCACTTGAACACATAATGTGTACCTTGGCCTGCTTGGTTAGTCGTCCCGTCTCCGTGTTGCCCAGCGTAGATGTTGTCCGAGGAGAAGGAGCCCTTCAGGGAGCAGGGCTGCTGGGTGTGCACCTGCTCTGGGGTGGCGCTGGTGTGACTGCTGGAGCTGGAGCTGCCACTGGAGTGGGCTGAGCCGTCCGACAAGATGGAGCTCTTAGCCGGGGAACTGGAAGAACTGGCAGCGCTTTCACCTTGGTGCACAAAAACAAGAAAAAATTAAGAAAAAAGTGTGAGTCAGAGTGAGTCACTCTGTGAATCACACTCCTACGGTTTTCTGAACCCGACGCCATTCTTGTGTTTTCCACTCGTTTGCTTCAGACTGAAAATGCTCTCCATACACACAAAGCATCACATACACCACTTATCACCCCACTATCTGAACCCACACACCTTTCCTCTCGCTAGCGGTGCTCATGTTGTTTTTGAGCTGCTGCACCATGGGATTGAGCAGTTTTCCAGCCTTCAGCTTGTGTTTGCTGGCCTTGCGCCTGCGGCCGCTTAGAGGTGCTGCGTGAAGCAAGCCGACATTGGAGGGCAACATTTTACCCAGCTCCGTGTACAAATGCTCAATCTCCCCTCTCTGGAACGCCTGCAGCTCAGAAATCTCCTTCATGTGTCTAGTGAGAAGGTACAGGAGGAAAACAGAAATAGTTGTTAGTCAATGTTGCTGTCTCTTTTCCTTTTTCCAAACATTCCCTCAGCAAGTTAGACTATGTAGTCCAATTAGGCCTTGTTCATTAGAGTAGCAGCCACAATACCTGCGTCAAGATCCGTTTTACAAAGTAATTCAAAAACATCTCCATGGCATTTGTAAATCTAACCAACGCTGAAGCTTTTGATGAGCTATGTGCATAGGAAACGCATTGTGATGAAGAAAATGAAAAGAACAGCTCTTTGTACATTTAATTTACTCTAATCAAGTCACATACTGTTATTGGATGCATCATGTTATCAACGTGAAATGATCATCATCGCACCTGTATCTGCGTACACTGTTGCTAAAAATGAATGTCCTCATTTAAGAATGACATGTCTGCTTAAGATAATTGGCAATTGTAATCCATTTTGGTTCATTATAAAACTTGAATTGTACGTTATCGATTAAGGTTTTTATTGAAGTGGTAAAGCACACTTATTTTGAATAACTTTGTAATGTGACATCTACTTGACAATCAATATGAGAAGATAGAACTCCTTTGCCAAATGTGTTATGAAAACCAGGCAGGCATGACCATTAACCAATATGTATCTTCAACATCTGCTGCCCGTTAACATAATGTGTTTCTGCCAAAATGCAATAATCTAAATCATGCCCAGATTGCTGATGACTATGCAGAGGGGCATAGCTACACATACATACAGACTAGGGCAGAACGATTTTTTTTTTTTTACAATTTTTTTTTTTTTTCTTCTTGTGTGTCAGTCATCCACACCAATCAGAAGTGCTGTGCTCCACATGTACCAGCCATTGTTAATCCATCAGAAGTGGCCCATGATAGAAGGTGATAGACAGATTGATCCAATCACCTGCCAAGTATTTTTGAAAGTGCCTGCCCTTTCCAAATGGCTTCCAATGGAGCTTTCCTAGATGGTTTGGTGAAACAAAGCATCTGAGTCAGGTTAGTAATGCTCCATCACATGTTTAAATCTATTACAGGGTGAATCTTAAACTGAAGCTTGACTTTTAACGGAAGTTTCATGTAAGTTTAGTTCTTTCACTCGTAGCTCGGGCTGCGGGGGTGCTAGAGACGGGAGTATGTTGATACGACCTTCCTAGCCTGAGTTATTAAACTTCCGTTGGGTCGCTTAAAAACAAATATCGCAATTCGAATCGCAATATTTGTCAGAAAAATCTCAATTAGATTTTTTTCCCAAAATCGTCCAGCCCTAATACAAACGCAACACATTTTGTGTGTTCATTTACTTTTCTCTCAGCTTCTGCAGCTCTTTCCTCATATCTGCATCCTCAAACTCCGAGTCGTTGTCACTGCTGATGTAGGATGAGTGGGCAGGAGGCGAGGTGGTGTGTCCGTTCATTGCCACGGGCGGTCTGCTCGGTGAATCCGAGCTCTGCTCACTTTTGCTCCGGCCACTGCGCCGCAGGAAGGCCACTGCCCTTTTCATGAGGTCGCTTCCACTGTGCGCAGACAGAGCATGAGCGGAGGGAGCGGGCTGGGCAAGGGGAGGGGCTACACCACTGCTGTCTTCATCTGCCGAGTCAGAGTAGAGGTGAGAGGCATGGCGGTAGCTGTGATGGGTCGGAGTGCCGATGGTCTGGGCCCGGGGGATGTGCCGGGGGGTGAGGTCGGGGCTGGAGGTGGGGGTGACATGATAGAAGTTTGGCGGGGCAGAGTAACGATTGCTGCTGAGGGGTTTGGATGTTCCCTCTTCCTCATGATCAGCTGCAGCTGTCACATTCAATCTGCCCACAGCAAAACACTCCTTCTCTTTCCTGCCAGGGCCCAGGGTCTGCCTGTGAGACCCTTCAGACCCACTAGAGGGAGCTGCGGAACTGCAGGTGCTGAAACCAGTCTTGCTTTTCTCTAAATGACAGATGACATCCGGTGGTGTGGGGATGATCTGGAAGGAAGAGAAGCCCATGTTCATAACAAAATGAGGGTCCATAAACATCATTAACCAATGTTTAGGCCACAAACTGAACCGAGGACTAACAATGGCATAAGTCATGACCTGTCATGTAATCTATTTTGGTCAAAGGACATTCATATTTAGCATTTAGAGGGTTTTTAAAGTGGAGTCTTACTTGAAAACGGCTTTTAGAGCTATTTGAACCAGAGCTGGTTGTCTCATCTCTTCTGTCCAAAACCCTGTTAGCCGCTGAAAGACAAGGAGACATGTTTTGAATGGTCACAATACTATTATGCAGTAATCATTTGAAATGGACATTATATAAATAATGTTACCTACCTCCCACTGCAGAGTCACTTATTGCACCCACACTATCTGTCCGCTCAGGAATCTGAGGCTATGAGGGGAAAAGAGAAGAGTGTGTGTGTAGGAGGTTACAATCATTTGAATAGAGGCAAGCGGTACATGGGCTAGATCAGTGTTGTGAGGGGAGCCATTGTTCCCTCCTGACCTCAGTTTTGTTTGAATGAGTCAGACTCTGATTTGTTTTTGGTAGCACACAAAGACACACACAGAAAATGATGACGTCAGAGAATAACATCAAGATCAATGATGGTGCTGACAGCAGTCATTTTGTGACCTAACCTACCTCTTAACCCTTAGTGGGTCTTTTTTGACCCGGTGAGGTGGTTTTTTTGAAGTATCTTTGTAATTAAAAATGTTTATCATTTCATATTCCAGCTATTCCTCAAAAAACATGTTTTGGATATCATGCCATTCAAATTTGTAATGTTAAGAAATTGTAGTTTTTGTATTACTACCCCAAGCTTCCATAAGTGGGTCAAACATGACCCGCATGCATTTCCTATGGGATTTCGTTTTTTTTTCATAATGTAAAAAACAAAGTCTAAAACACCTTGTTGCTGTCAGGAATACATTCACTGTAGACCACACAGACTACAATCAAAGTGACACCTCTCAGGAAGATTATTTTACACAGCAAATCTGATACCTGTCAGTATATAATAATATAATAATAATAATACATTATATTCTGTATTGGGCTTTTCAGGACTTGCAAAAATCACTAAAATATAAGGGAAGGTTAGGGTGGGGGGTATAGGATTATCAAACCTTGATCAACCGGCATGGATTGATGGGGGGTGGCTATGAGTAGAGCAAGAGGAGAAGAGATGAGTTTGAAAGGGTACTGGAATACTGTGGGGGTCTCAAGAATAGGCGGAGAATCTTTGCATCAATATTTCAAAATGTTTTTTTTCAAAATGTAAAAAAAGTTAAAAATTATAAATAGTGAAAAATTAAAAAATAAAATATTTCTAGTGTTAACCACATATAATACTAAATATTATACAAGTGATTTATTTTTTAACCAAATGACAAAAATGGCATAAAAAACACATAAAATTATAATACCGGTCCTTTTTAATCCAGTTTTTTTTATGGAAAGGTGTAGGCTCCAGTCACTCCTAGGGCATCTAAGGGTTACACAGTATTAGTCTTAATCCAAATCAATTAATCAAACACAAACAACACAGGTATTGGTTACCAGCTGATCCCGCTCTCTTCTTTGTAAGGCGCGCGGCGGCGCGCGCGAGGCGGCGCTGTCTGACACTAAGGTGTGCTGACTCCGTCTGTGCAGGGGCTTGGGGGTCCATACGCTATGCCGGTGGCCCTGGGATGGAGCACTGCTCCTGGTAAACAGGTTTCTCAGCTTTCCTCATCCAAAGTCTTGATGGTGGCGGTCGTGAACTCCACTCCTGCGCGGGTCCGTCGCTGTCCGACTCGCCCGGCCCCCACTCGCGCCGGCTGCTGGAGGCCGGACCCCTGGCAGTTCTGATGTGTGGACTCTGCGGCTGGAGGTGACCTGTCCCCGGTTTCCGCATGGGCGTGGCGTAGGGTTGCTGCACGCCACCCAGACTCGAATGGAGGCCGAGCTGAGGGGCTGCTCTCCAGTAGGATGTTTTTCTGATTGTGCAGGTTAGTTTGATTAGAGTCAAACCACTAGCGCTCCTATACTCGATAGCATTCACGTTCAGAGAGACAGGCGGAACAATAAGCAGCATGGAATGTCCGATACCAGAGAGACAGCGGAGATGCAAGGTACCTCCACAGGGAAGGATGTGTTGTGATGGGCGGGCATGTTTGGTTTACATCAGCTGAGGCGCTTGATCCGGGTTTTGTCAATGTTTTGTCTTGAGGTTGCACTGAGTCTGAGGCGCGGGGGCAAGGAGGAGGAGGATGACAGGCTTGGGAGGATAAAGATGTTGCTTGAGTACCGTTGAAGTTGGTGCTGCTGTTGCGCGCTGACTGATGACATGGCAGAGTTTTCAGATTCTGGAAGAATGAAAAAGATCCAGTGGTTGATTTGGGAGTGAACATATTGAGTTAAACAGCCAAGGCTGTGAAGAAGAGAGGCTTGATCTTATGTGTTACAGTCACTGCCTGTCCTTCCCCCATCACGCTCTGCAGCTGGAGTATAAATCCTGCCCTTCGTTTCTGCCTAGAACAACTGCAGCAAGTACTCTTATATAACTGACCCAAGGAGCCGACTTTAAAGCATGCACAGCATCTTCACTATCAACAGCAGAGAGTAACGACTCAAACCTGAAAGAGTATATTCTTTGTAGGAAAGCAGCAGCCTCAATAATTGCTCCTGTGTAAAGAACTTTGCAAGTGGGGTTTAAGCCATAAAAGGGAGCATTCCCAAATAGTCTGTATTTCGAGCATGCAGCATACCCTGGGCTGTAGAGAGGTGTTGGATGTAGTCTTCTCTTTGTCTATAATCAGGGCGTCTCCGCCACAGGCAGATGATAAACCCAGCCGCTTGCCGGTGGATGGAGGACTGTCAAGGAACACAGAGAAAGAAAAACTCAAAATTACAAATGTTATAAAAGCAATGAGAACAGAAATGAGATTATTGATACTTTGAAAGCTAGATAAAAAAGAGAGAATACATACGTGGATTTTCGGACTATACCGAGCCGCACTGAATTAAGCCGCAGCAGCGGCATACCACTCTCCTGGTTCCACTTTTACTTTTGCGGCGCTTACTGTCTCACTGGCGCGGCTTTCCGGCCCCTCCANTGGAGGCGCCAGTGAATGAGCCCCATTAACTGAGTTTTAAACATCACTTTAAATGGAAGATCCCCATAGGCCCCACCCACTCGATCGGTATCGGCTGATACTGATTCCGGCAATCGGCCCCAAAATTGCCGATCGGAGCATCCCTACATCATACTGTTAAAGACAAAAAAAATCTCAAAGCTTACCTCTACAAAACTATTCGTTATTAAATGCTGGTACTTCAACTTCACTTTTGAATCTGTTATGAGGCGCCTATAGGAGAGGTCAAATCATTCATTAGCCTTCATTACATCAAATTGATAACTTTGTTCAAAGGCTTTTTCCTTCATGTGCATAACTTCCAAGAAACAATACAGGAAACAAAAAAGATTTCAAACAATTCCACACCTAAGGAATTGCTCAATCAAATCAAATGTAAATTGGTGTTTAAATATTAATTTGTCCGTAATTAATAACTACTTAACAACATATTTCCAAATAAGAAAAATACAATTTTAAGTGCAGGCGTTCAACTAATTGGTACAAAATGCATTTCATGAAACTAAACGTGAACCATAACTATTCTATACTAGTCTGCTGGGTGTCCTGCTAGCTGGTCAGATCAGAATGTAGGTTAAGACAATTAATCATCTTAAGGGCTGGCAGAAGGGATTAGTGTGCTCACTTTCAACATGAAGGTACTTTACTGCACGAAAGGCACAACATCAACATTGTAAGGTAGCTAAGTAAAGATGCAACTAGAAAGCCCTTCACTTTACTTTTAGTATGCCAAATGTCAGGTAAAGTACTTTAATTAATAGTTTCTACTTAACCTATGGCTTGAATAGAGAAATCATATCATTTAAATACAAAATGTAATTCTGTTTTACATTGCAGATATGACAATGCTCTTTCTCAAGTAGTTTGTTATTGAACTGTGTTTGTCTCTGTTCCCAAAAATAAAAAACTGAAATCATTTTTGTTTCCTGTCACTCACAAAATACATGTGCGGATCACTGCTGACCAGCATGCGACGAGACATCAAAACAAATAAAGGCACAGAACGATACTCACATGACTGTGTTGTCATCAACCAAAATGTCACAACTATGAGCAGGACAGGAAATGGTCTGGGAAAACAACAAATCATTAGTCAGACAGCTAAGACCAACAGTGGTCAGTGCCATAGAATAAAGGTAGTAGGTACCTGTCCCATTCCTTCTTCTATGATTTTGGTGGTCAGGTAGTCTCCCCAGCACTGCATGCAGAACTTGTGTCCACACTCCAAGCCCGTAAAATACTGTAAGAGAGAAGCACCTCATGAATAACACAAACAAGACATCAGATGATGAGAAGCAAATGCACTTCTGGTAACCAGGCCAAAGCCTTCAGGGTGATTCAGAGAAAACCACATCTTTCAAAAACAATTTTTTTTAACAAAGTGATTTATATAACAAGTGGATTATTTGTTGTGCTTCAAATTCCAAAATATAAACAATCCATGATAGAATATCTAGATTATTTAGCTTTCTTTCAGATGTTAGGACGCACACTAAATATCAGAGCTGAAACACAAAACCACCTCACTCTGATAATGTATATGTATTTTTTTTGGAGTTTTCACCTTGACTTTGAAGTTATTCTTATTGGATTCATTTAACCCAACGCCAAAAGATTAACATTATGAAATCCATATTTAGGTGGTTTGTCATAAAGAAAGACAGTGTGTGAAGTGTGTTGATCAAAGATGTCATAAGGTGAAAGTGACAATCTTATTATGCTCAAATAAACAAACATTTTACAAAAAATACAAGTACTGAGTTTGAACACATTTGACCATTAGAGCGCTCAGATTTCAGAGGTCTTAATTAAACAACATGATTGCACTCAGGTGTTTGGATTAGAGGAACTTTGATGCTTCTTGAAAGTTGCTGGGTAGATGCCTTTTGGTGTTTAAAAGGGTTGAGAATAAAAAAAAGTGCAGTAAGTGGAACCTAACTGTTAACAATGTGTATAAGGAACTTAATTGTGTTTTAAATGGTTTCTGCATAATTCAAAGGAAGCCATGAGTTTTTTTAGTTTTTTTTTTTAAAGAAATCTTCCCTTTAATACATAACGGCCATTAATGGTTCCAGCTGTCGGAAGGACACACTGAACAAACATCGCAGAAGCAGTGGCATAGGAGCTTACTTGGGCCGAAAGTCATTCTCGAACACACAGTGAAGACTTCTTCGTATAAAAAGGGAAAAACCAAAGACTGCAGCCTTTGTTATGATACATCCATTAAAGGAGAGGTGTCATGGCCATTTCCACTGATCATAATTCCATTGTTGAGGTCTACTAAAATAGAAAAATA